GTGCCTCCTCTGTCTTTTAAATCACTTATTGTTGGCTAATTTCTCAAGTCTGATTGAGGTCAGATGTTGATGGAGGAATGAGGAGTTCAGATGTGTAAGTTGGAAGATTATAAGCAAACTTGCTCTTCAGAACCCTTTGCGTGTGCCCTCTAAGGTGCGATGGGTGTTTGGTATGCAATTTCACGTCTGGGCGTCAAATTGACTGTGTCCTGTACTTAGTAGAGATCGCTCGCTGATGGAATGATACGCTGTTGTTATCTCAAGCTGTCTCTCAGGAAGCAACTGCTGCATGATGGGAAAATGAATGGAGATTACTTTGATCAACACTCTCATTAACTCTCTTCATTTTTTTCTTTTCTTTTTTTCCTTGAGCACGTAAACAGACACTAACTTTGCATATGTCTGTCAAACCTACGTTCATTCACTTGCATAGTAGACTTGTAAGACTTACTTTTTTTCTTTCCGGTTTCTTGAGATGAAAGCTCTCGAAGAACATTTTTGACAGAAATAGGATTAAAAATATAAATATAACTTTTGCTTTAACATAAATTACCCTTACTTAGACACACAGATCTCATCTGCTGTTACATTTTACAAATTGTATAACCTGTTTTATGATCATGAAGACCCAAATAGTTTTTTAAGCCTTACACATGAAATGGTCTCAACAAATGTCAGCTTATATTACATCAGTGCAGTGATTGACAGTAGATTGCTGCCTTGTAATGAAATCGTTAATAGAGAGTTTGAGAATCTAAATAAATAAATAATCCATTTATCAGTCACTTTATGGTCACAAATTAAAACCATTTTAATTTTTTATTATTATTTCTATTGGTAATTGTTAAACTTATTGTTTTGCATTTTTATTTATTATTTTGATTCATTTGTATTGTTTTGATTGTACAATCAAAGTCTAGTGTGGATAAATGTATCTACTTTTTTAAATTTATCATTGAAATGATGCATCAGTTCTTCAATTCATTTATTTATTTCTCAGTTGACTTTTTTCTTAATTACTCAATTGATTATTGAATGTCACATTTTGGCCCCCATATATGATGTAAAACTGCTGTGGCATGTCTAAATATATTTTTTTTAATTCTCTGACACAGCTTAACGCTTGTGTATAGATGCCCTATTGCCCACAGTGTGATAAACTTCACACTCAACAATTATATATAAATGTATTTATTATTAATACATTCTTGCATGACTGTGGTGGACTGAAATCAAGGTTGAGCTCTAATTTGAGTGCAGTCCACTCTTGCTGACAGTAGTGGTGTGTGAGTTAGTGGAACGCATAGACTATTGGCAGAGCACTGATAAGATTCAGCGCTGAAGTGGCGGGCGGCTGTGTGCGGGTGAGCTGATACAGTTCAGGATTGTTGACTTGTACTCCATAGACTTATTCTAGGCTTTATGACAAACTTTTCAGCTGAGCACCACCTCCTCGTCGCCATCATTTTTACCCCAGCAGATTTGTGCCCTCTGGACCCTTTGTGTGCGTATTTCCACCATTCTGATGATCCAGCCACACTTTATCAGCCAATTGGTGTTAAGATGTGGTGACACTAGGCTTTTAGCATGCAAAATTGCTTCTGCCCCGACTAAGAACACCAGTGACAGTCAATTTGTGACTTTTACATCCTCTATTCGTCAAAAACATCTTTTGGCTTTTCACAAAAAAAAACAAAAACAAACTTTTTTCATGTAATTTTGTTTCTGCCCTGGAAATATCTGGATTTCTTTCTCCTTTGAGAATTTGAATTAAGAAATAAGAGAGTCTAACAGCTGTTCAGTTGAAAGTCGGCCAGGTCCAGGTTGTGTTTATGTTCTTATTGCTTTCCTCTCTGCTGTCCTGTGGTGCCTAAAGCAACATTTGTGCTGTGAAAAGTTGCAGATTTTAATTGAGTTTTCAATTGGTAAAAGATTCTGTTCTGCTGCTTATGAACTCAGCGGATCTTAGCCGTCACAGGCGGCTCAACTGAAACTAGATTACACCGGAATTAAAGGCTATAGCTCCGCAGCACTGGAGGAAGCCCAAGTTTGCTGGTGTGAACAAACAAGCATCTCAAATTTTATTGTTTTTCCCAAACTTTTACAAGTAGAGAGATGCACGGTGGCCGGCCGGTCAGTCTCACGTCTTGCCGATTCCAAGCCGATCCTTTTATTGCCAGCGGTGCCGGTGTTCTGATGATTTGTGTTACCCACTCAGATTGTGCTACCTCCCATTAAAAAGATAGGTAGCACAAATCGATAGCGAAAAATGCTACCTATCAGATTGTGCTACCAGCATCTTATTCATGTGGTTTGAGGCTTTTTTTAATGTCCATACCTACCCCTACCCTAAACTTTCCCTTAAAATAATGTAAATCTATTTTTGGTAGCACAATCTGATAGGTAGCATGTTTCGTCGGTACACCGGCAATGACGTCACAGCCACGCATACACTCACAGTCGAGTGTAAACGTGTCGTTTCGCGTGAGAATGATTCTAATTTTAATTGCATTCAGTGTAAACGGCGACTGATAATGTATTTATGTCGTGCCAGATGAGGCGTGCACAGCCTGAGTGAGCGTGTGAGAGAGACTGCACACACAAAGTAACTCACAGAAATTTATAGATGCATATTGCGGTAGAAAAAAAAAAGATATTTACAAAATATGATTTAGGTAAGCAACATTATATGGCCATGATGTTTCCCCGAATATCAATATTAACACGATTGCAATGTGACACTGATTTTATACAATAGTATTTCAATAAACAAGAAGTTAAAATTAAGTGACTTTAAATATATTTAAGTGACTTTAAATATTGACTGTTTTTGCTCAATTTGCTGACGAAAATAGTTCCGATCAAAGCCACAGCAGGACTGTTTTGTGTCTCCGAGCAACACACAGCGGTGTTTCATTACTGAATGAATCCACGTTTTTGAATGAATCGAGTGAGTCAATGATTTAGTGGCCCATTCATAAGGACAGTCACTTGCCTCGTTTCTGGACTGTTGTGTGTCTCCGAGCAACACAGCGGTGTTTTGTTACTGAATTAATCCACATTTTTTAATTAATCGAGTGAGTCAATGATTCAGTGGCCCATTCATAAGGACAGGCTTGTTTCTGAATGAATTAGCCGTTTGAATGAATCGGTTGAATTAATGAATAAATGACTCACTCATTAAAACAGACGTTTGCCGCCACCTACTGGCGGTTTAGTCATATTTAAAAGTATCATTGCATTTTTTCAATATTTATTTGTATGTTTAAAAAAATATGTAAAACATTAAAGGCACAATATGTAAGTTTTTGCCCCTAGAGGGCGCGTATTCAAAACAAACAAAGCAAAAAAGGCGTAGTTTGATGACGCCGTGACGGAGTGTGGAATCATGGGAGTTGTCTTCTTCATCCTCACAGCCGATGCAATCCAACGGGACTCGGGCAGAAATCATGTTCATGAGCTAATGATTTACTCACGTCATAGTAAGAAGCAGGGTGAGGCTGAAAGCCATCGAAGCAAAACGAGGCCGCTGAACGAGCGTGACACGTGGCTCGAAAGCAGCGGAGCGTTTATTATGCCACAGTCGACCGCTTCCGCTCCTTCCGGTCGTGAGTATGTGCGGTAAAGCAGCGCTGTTTTATCATTCTAGATACATTTGAAAGTTCTGTTATAATGCTACTCTGTGCGGTCGTCACCTGTCTAAAAAAACGCATTACATATTAAAGTGTCTTTGGTGTTTCCATGTTTTCTACAAAACAAAACCGAGAAAATCGAGGGTGTATGACGTCATTAGCAGGCGACACAATGACACTATGGACACGGTCCGTGTCACTAGTTAAAATTGCTTATTTCTATGGATTTAAACATTCTTCGAAACATTTGGGATAATGTAAGTACACAAGTCAGCAAAATATATAACACTGTTCTAGTGGTTTTTGGATATTTTAATAAAAAAATCTTACATGTTGTGCCTTTAATCTTATAAAATTATTTATGCATTTGAAATTTTGGAGTGTTAATGCATTTATGGCACCTCAGCTTCATCAAACTGCCTGTGTAAATGCATGTAATGCCACTTCAGATGCAGCTTCTGTTTCCTCAGCAGTGGTAAGATAGAGTTTGTTAATACTAATTTCATTTGAATGGTAACAACTCTACAGTTTCTTATTATTCTAACTGAATTAATTGAAACAAAGTAAGAATTTGATGTGAAAGATGACACATTTAATAAGGTTAGGGGAAAAATGACCATTTATAAACCTAGTGGGAAATGACATCTGTTTTGTTACATACAGCAACTCATTTTAAGTTAACTATGTGTTCCTCTTTCCAGTCACAGAGCACTTTATTTTGAGAGTTGTTTAAGTGAGAGAAAATCTGTAGCTTAGTCCAGATTGGGGGAATTGTAATGTTTAATTTCTTTTATTATGTAAATAATTTTGCATTGAAATTTGCATAGGTTTTTGTTTGTATATGCTGTCAATTATAGTTCTTAGAAAGAAAATCGGAATCGGCAAAAATCGGTATCGGCAGGTCACACTTCCAAAAAAACGGAATCGGCCAAGAAAATTGCAATCGGTGCATCTCTATTTACAAGACATAATCATATAAATGAAATTTCTGAATCTAATTTGCCTTAAAGCTGAAGTGTGTAATTTCTCCACTTTTAGTGCAACCAAATTGCAGAATGCAAAAATAATTGTTTCCAGACATCTTATACTGCACTTCTGCTCCTCGTCTTCTATGTTCATCAAACACACCCCAACTCATGCCATTGGTTGTGCTGGAACTGAAAGCTGAAAGTGTCACGACATTTACACTCTTTTTGTTTGACTGTGCACAACAAACTGGGGTGGGAGAAAGTATTTTAGCATTTAGACAATTACCTCATTTTAAATCTTTGTGTTATATTTAGATGTTTTATTTTATTTTATTTTATTTATTGTTTTTATTGTTTTCATTTGATTGCACTTCCTAATGTGTGTTACATTTTTTCCCAGCATTAACCATTCAAAGGAATTGTGACGGTCTCCCTCCAGCCCCGCAAAACCGGTCTGTGGCTGATATAGAGGAACTGGCTGCCAGCTATGAGCGTAAACTCATCGAGGTGAGTACTGGAGCTACCAAAGCAAGCAGCACTTGCCCTTTCCTTCTGTAACCTCAATGTCATGTCATGTAAACCAACATTTATAGGGCCCTATGATTTCCGCAGTGTGGAAAACGCGGACGGAATCACGGAATCAGGCCATAAAAATGGAAATTACTGTATAACGTGGAATGTCACATTTGCCAAAATTTGGATGAATAAATCAAAAGTAGGTCAGTACACTTAAATGAAAATGCGATATGGACTAATGTCTGTGAATATTAAGCTGCAAATATACTATTTTAATATGAATCTTGCATGTTCTACGTGTCTCTATGTGAATGAATGGCGCAGACACACGGTTTAATTTACTACACACATACTGAAGTGCACATGACGCTCGCAGTGTATTCAGCCTTTGCCGCTTCAGTATATGAGTACATGAACATAATCTCCAGAGCTGCTCCGAGAGTCATTTATGAGCATTTTACCATTTTGAGAAAATTTTACCTTTTGAGAAAATCTATCGTTATACAAAATCGTTTTCTACAAAAAGAAACTTAAAAGGTCTTCACAGCAACCCGTCAAAATAAAAAGTTTGGTTTAACTTGAAGAGACTGTGACAGAAATATATTACTTAATGTAATGATAGTACTACTACTACTAATAAAATTATTATTAAAACATAATTTTTATCATAAAAATTATTTACCAGAAAAATGAAAATACACAACAGAGTATTTCTGGAAAAAATAATAATAATAAATAATTTTTTAAATAAAATCAATTAAATAGAGATGCTTTTGATTACTAAAATTGAATGAAACCATTAAAATGGAATCCAGAAAAAATGAATGGAAAACGCAGAATTTGGTAAAAAAAAAAAAAAAAAAGAAATGAATTTGAGAAAAAAAAAACATAGGGCCTTAAAAATTTAATTTTTGTTATACTTTTAATAAATTGCTGTTAAATTGTGTAAGTTACATGATTTCAATTAATTAGACATGCTTTTGATTAATAACATTTAATTTAACCGTTAAAACAGAAAAAAAAACGGAATTTAGAAAAAAAAAAATAACTGATTTCATAGGGCCCTACATTTACCATCCCAAATTTCAGCAAACAGATTCAATAACGTCAGTGATGACTAGATTTAGATTTCTTGCAGCATTTTGTGTGTGATTTCTATTAAAGGTGAAATGTGTAGATTCAACATTACATACTTTATATGCTGTCTAGGTTCATTTTGAAAGGGACATTTTGAAACATCTTGTATTGGTGTAAACGTGCAGTGAGCTCATATTGACTTGTCCAACATCTACAGAAGTGGCTGGACAATATATAATGGAGGATGTAGGAATAATTCATATGTAGTTCTCTATGCTGTAATAACTTCATATTCTTCTTATGTTTTTGGGGGAGTATCTTTTAACTTATTTATGTATTTACAGTAGTGTGTATTTTTGAGCATGTAATTTATTTATGGGCTCTTTTGCTTAGCCGTCTGCCTCAGTAGGGTTTTTCAAAAATGGGTCTCAGTAGGCCTGTCGCAATAATCAATATATTGACTTATCGCGCAATATATGTACAGGACCTCAATCATTTTTGGTGACGCAATTTATCGCCCATTATATTTACTTAAAAATTAATGTCACCATGTTTTGTACATTCCACTTGCGCCTGTGTCTTTTGCAGCTTCTCGTACATAACGTGGTGTAGTCATTAGGTGCTAGTTCAAATTTAAAAAATGCTTCTACAAACAAAGTTTCATCTGCAGATATGGCTTTGTTTAGGGATCTGTGCCTTTGCGCATATAGACATCTGACTGCTAAGTAGTGATTGTGTTTTTCAACATTAGTGTTCACCCTTAATTTACAGAGAAGGTGAGGGAAAAATCTGTAGATGGAAAAATCTCCATACAGGTTTTTCTTTTTTTCTACTTGTTACTTTGCACTTTTTGTTAGAAAATGTTTATTTACTATTTATACACGTTTTTTAAGGTATCTAATATTTTGATACTTAATTTCCATGATCTAAATATTCTTAAAAATTAAAAGTTTGTTGTCATTTGGAAGTGTGTAGGCCTTCTTGCATTATTATGCTGTTACATTATGATTATATATTCAGTGACATAAAATGGTCTTTAAAATGACAATAATATCGCTTATCACAATTATTTCTGTGGCAATATATCGCACAACAAAAAGTTGTTATCGTGACAGGCCTAGGTGTCAGGGCTGCCTCCTTATAGTTTTAAATTTACATACAGAGCTCTGAATGCTTTATTTAATTTTGGTTGGCAAGCAAGCATCCCTTTTTGCTCCTGCCCAGATATGTAAAGGAGTTGCACTTTTTCTCTGGTGACAAATTTAGCATGTTTATTTCAGTTTCCACAAGAGCAGCAGTGAATATAGACCACATGGAAGTTTTATTACATCTGTAGTGTATTTATGTGGCTAAATTAATATTTTCATTCATAAGTTCTGCTGCTACACAAAGTAAAAGCAATGGGATCTCAACTGCAGTTGTGAGTTATTGCATGAAATGATATACTGTAAAGACCTACATGTACATCTATAAGGCTGTTTAAATGACTGATTTCACTGTCTGTTTCTGCTGTGAGCGTACAGTCGAGTGTACTGCTATGTTTCACGTGTGCCAGAAGCACTGTAAGTGTGTACTTACATCATCTTAAATGCATCAGATGATTTGAGGATGCCATCATTCCTTTGAAGTAACACCAAAGGAGCCTTGCGTCTTTTCTCTCTCTCTCTCTCTCTCTCTCTCTTTGCGACCCACACACTTCCTCTCCCAGTCTTCCTTCAAATTATCACTGTGGAATACTCTTCCTCTGTCTTGGAAGCTGTTGTAATAATATCACACACCAGTTAATGGCCCTGTGGGACTTCAGGCACAGAAAGTGTTCAGACTGCCTGTTTTGCTGCGAGCTCAGATGGACTGTGGAAAAAAATGAAACGTACTGCAGGAGGTAGTTTGACATACATGCAAGCAAGTTCCTAAAAACATTTCTAAAACGAAGTATAAGTAAAGTAAATGCGTTTAATAATGATCCGTTATTATATTATCGTTTACATACGAATAACAAACTTTGCAAGGTTGATGAGGTCTTCTTAAAGTTTAATTTATAGTAGTGTAAGTAAGCCTGCTAAAATGAGAGCGATTACTTCAAATTGCAATTTAAGCTTCAGGATAAGGGGATATTTCTCAGCTTTGGCATAGAACAGGGACAAACAATAAATTGAATTTGTTGGACTGAGATGTTTGAAAGGTTTTTGGAAAAACAAGCTGGCCTATATCCTGTATTTCCAAGATCAGGACGAAAGACACTCATGAACTCTCTAGAAATGGGCCCTAAGAAAAGAAAGCCACTATACTTTGGTAGACAAAGCACAATAGAGGCAAACTCTGACAAATTAAAAGCATAGTCCACACAAAAATGAAAATTCTGTCATCATTTACTCACCCTCATGTCGTTCCAAACCTGTATGCATTTCTTTCTTCTGCTGAACACAAAAAGAGAAAAATGTTGCTAACCAAACAGTTTAGGTTCCCATTGACTTGAACAGTGAAAGCAAAATTCTTTAGTACTGTGACCCAGGCCCGGATTGGCTAATCGGGAGCACCGGGAGGATTCCCGGTGGGCCGGTCTGTTTTTTGGCCGTGAGGGCCGGTGTGTTGTCATGCTACTGGGTTGAAATATGCTGCCTGCACTCACAGCAGCCCTACTCTTTTTATTTATTATTTTCTCGCAGCCCATATTATTAATTTCAGCAGACCATAATAATAACAAATTCTCAATTGATAATTAATCATTCTTTCTGCGAAAATCATTGTTATTTGTGAACCTAGGCGTTCGAGGAAGGCTTTAAGACCAAGCGGAATCCTCTGCTGGCTGCTCCCGCTTCACAGCGAGCGCGACTCGCACTAACTGCACCCAGGTTCACTGTCCGCGTTTTGATTTTACAAAATCAGTTTGGGCGAATGCAACTTATTGATCATGAGCCCAACATTTAGCAAGGCAGGAAAACATTCAGTCTACCTGAACGAAGACGTATTTCATTGTAAGTTAATGCTGTTAAATAGAAAGAGAAAAAAATACATTGAAAAAAAAAAACTAGTGTAGGCTATTCTTAAACTTGGACCTCATTATATTGAAGTACAAATCTAAGCACCAGAAGCAACCTACACTCTAAGTGTTCTTTCATTGAAAAGTATGCATTTTTATTCATACACAGGCTATATGGTTGAAACAGTATTTTAGTTCAAAACTTTAAGTGCCATTGTTTAAAAAAATGCTTTATTGACTGACGTTTCATAGACCTTCAGTTGTTATGCTTTCAAATTCCATTCCATTTGTAATTTCACAGTATTTTCACCTCCTAAATTACTACATCCTTGTAAAGTCACAATTCTATAATGGTAAAATTCACTTAATTTTTTGTATGACATTACATTTTTTTTTTAGAATAATTGTACATAAATGTGTTAAGCAAAACAAATGCGTTTATTTCTGAGAACTTTTTAACTGCAGGCAGATATAGGCCTACATTATTGTACAGTACAAATATTTGGATCATCCCTTATTCTGTCCCTTATTTTCTTAAAGTCCCCCTGTAGTCAAATATTTTATCCCTTAAACTTATCTTTGATCATCAAAATTACATATTTAAATGTTTTTTCTTGTGAA